ATTAAATTTCCTTTTTGTACTATTTTCTGTTTTCATCATTCTTCTTATGTATCTATTTTTTTTTTTTTATTTTTATTCTGTCCTGAGTACTAAAGCCTTTTTTTTATTTATTTTTTTCGTATTTCTTTTTAGTTGCATTAGTTTATTATTTTATTTAGTTATTAGTTGTCTCTCCAGTTTTTTTAATTTTATTTTAAATTGGGACGCCGATGGACATATGCAAATTTATTTACAGCATGAAAATTATTAAATTTTAAAAAATTTAAATTTAAAATAAGTTTAATTAAAGTGTTCAATTTAGGGAAATTATTAATTTTGGCTGGTGTTATCGATTAACCTTCTGCAATGCACGCAGCTTCTGCGAAATGACGTCTTTCAAGTCCATTCGAATAGAGCAAAGAAGAAAATTTGTTGGATATACGCCAAAATATGGATTAGTTCCATTTCTTGCCCAAACTCCTGCAGCTCATTCCTGTGCCACTTTTTCACCGGGTTTTGAATGGCGATGCTCCGTCTAGTATATAACAGGTCTATGATTGAAATATGATACCCAAAATCTTTCGCGATTACGATACAAGTAATTAATAAAAAATGTAATTAAAGCGGAACGTATACACAGAAATTATTTCCGGCTGTTTTAGGTAGAGGTACAAATAACTTTTTAAGCAAAAGTGTGCTTACGATAGTCGCCTGTAGTACTGTATACCTGTATGCATGAATTAAATGATTATGCCCAAAAGTACAAAAACTCAGCCTATAAGTTGAGTACAAAAACTGTAAGCCTGTAAACTCAGCCTATAGGTTGAGTACAAAAACTGTAAGCCTATAAGTTGAATGCCTTCATGGAGGGCATGTTAAGGGAAATTAGTCTCTATTTACGCTATACAGGAAGTAAATCACGGAAACCTTATTTTATCACCTCACTTCAATTAATCGGATAGGGAAATAGGGCGAATGGTAAGTGTTTTACAAACGTATCCATAGAACCGCTGATTGATTCTTGGAAGCAGTGTTGCGGGATCTTGGGATGTTTCGAAAATTTGCTGCTTTTGACAAACCTGTGCTATTAAAATATATGTCTATGCGACTTTGCGATTTTTTGCGACTTCATCATTTCCTTGTGCTACTCTTTGCTACCTTAAAAAATTTCTAGTGCATTTTAAAATGAAATTTGTTAATATAACGTATCTATTGAAATTAATTTTAAATAGAAAATAATAATTTATTTATACTTGAATAAAAATTTGTGACTGGTGTTTAAAAGTATATTTAAATGTTTCAGTTTATATCAGTTGCATAAATTATTAGAAAAAGTAAAACAGAAATTGAAATTATCAAAAACAGAGCTTATTATTAAGAAAAATAATTTAAAATTGAAATTATTAAAAGGAGAGTTTATTATTAAAAAGCAAAATAAAAATTGAAGTAATAAAACGTGAGTTTCTTATTAGAAAAGTAAAATACAAATTGAAATTATTAGAAAGCTGGTTTATTACTAGAAAAATTAAAATACAAATTGAAATTATTTAAAAGCGAGTTAAGTATTAGGAAAAGTAAGCTAAAAACTGAAATTATTAAAAAGTGAGTTTATCAAAGAAAAAGTAAAATAAAAATTGGAATTATTAAAAAGCCAGTTTATTTTTAGAAAAAGTATAGGGAAAAAAACTGAAATTACTGAAAGCAAGTTTATTATTAGAAACAATAAACTAAAATTTTAAATTATTAAAAAACGAGTTTAATGTTGTAAAAGTAAAATAAAAACTGAAATTATTAAAAAGCAAGTTTGTTGCTTTTAAGTGACGTATTGCTTTTAATAACTGAATGAATAATTTAAAAGAGAAATTAAATATCTCATGGAAGATTCTGAGAAAAGAATGCGCGCGCTCACAGAAGATGAATTATAGATCTTGCATTTCTTTTCTGATAGATGAAAACAAACCTCAGTTAATAATAAATTTAAATTATAATTTCACCGCTATTACGGTTATATTTACGATGTAATTGCAGTCATCGTAATTGTACTTACACTATCACTGTCTTACATGCAATCTTAGTCTTATTGGAACTACATAAAATGTAATTTTTATAATTGTAATACAATAAATTGCAATTGTAGTTACATAATTGTTGAATTAACTGTAATTGCAATTAGGTTTTCTATGAATTTGTATTACAACGTAACTGTTATTACATTGCGGTTTAATTATTTATTAATTTTATTGTAATTAATATCCAATTCTGCATAAAAAGAAAAAGAAACTACACCAGTAAGAGACATTATTAATTTTACAGAACTGGCGGGAAATCACAATAACAGTATTAGAGCAGAATTATGGTTCGGAAAGAAATGTACGAGTTCACTTATCTCGAACAACTACAATCTCTAAGTCTATTTACCATCTAAACAGCTGTTAGAATACGCCTACCGTCTTTGTTTTGACAGTAAAAACGACTAATATAACATGCCTGTACGCAGTTACGACCCAGCTGTTCGAACCTAAAAGACGGCAGATGGCGGGGAAATGGAGAAGTGTTTTTGCCTTTTGAGACATGATTAGCCAGTAGCAACATCTTTTTGATATAAGAACTTCTTTGTCTGAGGAAATACTCTATGATTAACTCAGGACACTAAACAAGTAGCATTTTTTCCCCCATGGCTCGTACCTGTGAAATTAGAACAGCAACAAATACGAATAAGATGTCGAATAAATCGAATTTTGCTGTCATCAATAAAATATTAGATGATGACTAGAGTGAGATTTTGGGCAGTGTTTCGAATGCAACAAGGGGGAGAGGGGGGATTTACTTTCTATTCTTAAAAGAACTTTTTCGTATACGTCATATATAAATTAATGCACCGGAGATTTCAAGGTCAATTGATCACCAGTAACTGTATTTCACTCAGTGCCGAAACTTGTCAAGTCGCATGGGTTATAAATGTACGTATAATAACATAACGTAACGCAACGAAAATTTTGGAAAGATTCGGTTGACGTTGAAAAGGATGTAACACTGTAATTTAAAACAGACTGTAAATTTGCATTTGAAAAAATTATAATCGTATACAGCATTTGCGAATTCGCAGTCTGTACATAAAAAGAACAGTATCCCCCCTCCCAATAATCAGATGACCATTAAAAATTTTTTAGAATATGACATCTGAATTGTTTCCGTTTGTAGCTAAATGGATAGGGAAAAACTGCATGCATACCATTAAGCATTGGAAAAAGGTAATGGGATATTAAGTTACTTCTGGTGACTTTAAATGAAACTGATGTAAATATAGTTGTTGCACCTGTCTTTTGGGTATATAAAGACAGCAATATTCCCCAAAAGACAATCTACAAAATCCTATGTTAAATTCGTTTACTAAAAATAACCATGTATACATGATTTTTGACTGAATATCTTCAGTATTTCAAAGTTAATCGTAAAACAGTTCGTACATTTCAGTTACCAAGGAATATTGCTTTTGCAAAACACACTAAGCTTCTGCGTTTTGCTGTAGTGCTATGCATAACTTAGAAGTATTTCAAAATAATTTAAAACCTTAATGCTTAATGGCATTCAAGTATCTTTAACAAAGAACCATATTCTGTAGGATTTAAAAAGTAGATGCATTCTTTTTATTTTGCATTAACAGTTCTTAAATATAACAGATTTGCATTAACAGTCTTTAAACGTAACAGAAGATTTTACTGGTTTCTTTAAAACACAAAAAATTTTAAATCATTAGAGGCACATCACACGTGCCTTTTCTAGCTATGTTGTTAAAACTCTTAACGTATTTTAATTTCTGTTGTTAAAACCCTGCAATTTATATCTTATTAAAGCCCAAATAAAGTAGTTTGAGGCTCTAAGTACAAGATACAAAGAAGCTGGTGAGACACCAGAACTTCACCAGCGGTTTTACAGGCATAGTCCCCACTGGACTTGTAGAGATATTTTTTGAAGCAGGAGACATGAAAAATGAGCAGTACTCTCTCGAATACGCGCCGAGTGTGCAAACCGTTATACCACGAAGGCATATTGGAAGGACAGAGAAAATATCTTACATACTCCTCCTTTTAAAGGGCAACTCGGGATTACGGGACCCACTGGCCAAATCCTGGTGGTGAAGAATCATCATCCACCACGTTTTTCAGTTCAGGCGCCACCACTGTAGAGTTATTAGGGTTTTTCCGAAGCAGGAGACCTGAAAAATGAGCAAGGCCCTTCCCGGTAATCGAACCTGGAACTCTCGAATACGCGCCGAAAGTGCTACCGTTACACCATGAAGGCATGCAGAAAAATGGGAGAAAAGGCTTTATATACTAACTGAACACCTTCGTCCTACTTTTGATACACATCGTGATTGACAAATCCGAGTATTCCCTTCTTTCCCTACCACCAAAACTAACATAAAGCCCACTTTCCTTATTTTTATGCTATAAATGGGGGAGGGGATTTACAGAATGGCTTTAGAAGGCGGGGGGTTGTAGGATCTATGTATTGTAGAAACATTAGGAATTTTTTTTTGAAGCATACAGGATAAAAAATGAGTAATCGCCTTCGCAGGGAATCGAACTACGGACCTCTGGAATACCGGCCCAGCGTGCAGAACCACTACACCACGAAGACACACTAGGAAGGCGGGAGAAATACCTTATAGTATAATCAAATCATAGTTAATTAAACAAATAAATTGGTAAAACAAAATTTAGAAAGCATTTTGCTTTTCAGATATTGGTCTGAGAGCTATAGGTAACACTACATATCTTATTTTACCTCTTGCCGCCTTTCATATTCGTTTTCAGGCAGCAATATTCATTGAAGATTCATAGCGAATAGAAATGAAAAATATCTAACATGTACTAGTCTTTTGAAGAAACATGGAAGCAACCACAGAAACAAAGCTTACTTCGTAAAAACGTATTCATGCCATGAGCAATGAGAAAAGGGACACTTTTTTTTTTTTTTTCAGTACAAAGCTAACGATTTGGGAAGTATTAAGTAAGTACCTGTTGTTTTGATACAGTTGTACAGAACTGTTTAAATCCGCCAGCTGTTCTTTTAGCAGCTGAAGACTTGAGTTGACAAAGCTTAACTCTAAGGCTATTGTTTCCTTCAGCTTCTTGTTGGTTGTTGCTCTGAAACGTAAAAGTAGTAACAAAATTATTATTATATTTTTTTCAAATATAAGAGTACAGAATTTATATATAAATTATATTAAATAATATTAAAAATTTCAGAAAGAATTGTGGGAAACTGTTGATAGTTCAAAATTGATTGCAAAATTTCTATGAAGACGAAGATTGATTTTGTTCAATTCCTTTGAAATTCAACTTTTATTTTTGTTGCAACTTATTTTAACGTTGTTCTGTAATGTTCTTTTAAATCTGAAGGTCGCTTCGTCAAACTTTAAACCTAACTCAAAACTAGAACTGGAAAACAATGTATAAAAGTAGTGTTAGGAATTTTGTACATACATAGATGATTTTAGTACACTTATATGTGGAATTGTATTTTACTGTGTAATGTAACGCGAAACAAATTTTAAGAGAAAGCTATGCCGGAAAACTAAGAATACAGGGGCAAGTGCATTTAACATTGAGTAAATACTTATCTCGGTAATTTGGCGAAAAATCGCCAAAAGTCGAAAAGTCGTCTCATTTGGCGACATTTTGATCTGGCCCCTGTATTACCGTAATAAGTATTTTAATTGAATAAATGTATCTGATCATTGTATTTGCTCTAATTCGAGCCTCATATTGCTTTCCAGTAATTTCGAGAAGCAGAAAGTACTAGAAATATCTCGGCGGCGTTGAAAACTATATAAGGTCGGAGAGAGGTATCTTCTCAGTTAGGTAGTTGTTGCTATTGCTACGAGTTGTTCGTTCAGCGTGAGATCGGATTAGCTTTCTCTTTAGATGCGCTTTTGCATTGCGCTGGGTTTAGCGTTCTTAGTAATTTGAAGTATAACTACTGATTGTACAGTATGATACAGTAAATTCTTGAACGAATATTCTGTGGAAAATTCCGAAGTTCTGAAATATTTCTTTTGACAAAATAAATTATATTAACCTATTATAGAACCTGTGCACTCAATCTATTGCTAACTCGTGCGCAGGCAACAATAATTTAAACAATTTGTCTATGGAAACAACCTAAAGGTAAAGTTATCAGTAAATCCTACTTGAACTTCAAAGAGCCCAGATTTGAAACCTGGATAAGGTTAGGTTTTAATTGCAATAATTTCGCATCTCCGCCGCGAGAGGGTGTTCAAAATCTGTCGGTCTGAAAACTCTCTTCAGAGACCGGTGGCACTGAAAGACAGACTTGAGACTTTCAGATTATCTGCAGATATTGTAAATCTGAAGTAAAAGAAGATGTGGAAAATTACATTGTCATCACTGGTCATCACTGGCTCACAAACAACGAGAGCCTCAAGTGGTTAATATCAGGAAGCACGGGTTGCACAAAAGAAGTAAGTTTTGAGTAAAATATAAGGCAAAATTTTAGTAAATACTTGTGGGTTGATTAGCTGAACATTTCTCGTGTAAAATTTAATAGAAAATCATGTTTATGATTTATAAATTTTATTTTTAGGCTCCTGAGTAATTTTGGTGAGCAATTTATCATCAGCGCCTAAAAATTATTATAGACATTTAATCGAGAAGATTACACACGATCTGTTGTTACCTGTAAAGTTTTTCAGCTCCGTTTCTCATCATCGTTTGGTAATTTATTTCTTGATTTAGTTTCGCTCTCTGTACTTGTAATCTCCCCCGGCAAGTAGCTGCCAAAGGATCTGTGCCCTAGAGAGAAAGGCAAATCATTAGTTACAAAATAGCCGCAGGCTGTTGAATTTGCTTATTCACAGTTTATTAAATTGAGTTTCAAAATATTTGGGGTACCATATAAGAGAGAGGAAAAAAGAAAAAAGTGATAGGTGAGAAATTCAAAATTTAAAAAAAAAAAAAAAAAAAAAAAACCACCACTTTTTTACATTTTATATTACGACTAAAGGGGCGTTCTTTTGACGTTTTGTGTGTTACCTTTATTTATTAACCATCATATTCTTTGCATTTAAACCATAAAATTAAATTCAACAGCAATATCGCAAAAACAGAGCATATCTTTATAATTTCCGATATAAAGTCTCGCGCGCTGGAGATAAAAATGCTTTTTTCCGTACAGTGTTGCCATTGCTCGCTTTTAAATCATGAAATTTCTTAATCGAAAACTCATAAATGCTTTACAAAATATGAAATAGATAGATAATAAAACAAATTCCAAATTTGAGCTTCCAAATTTGATGGCCATATTCGGGTGGAGACGTACTTTATTCAAAATTTGATGGCTTTTAGGTACCGTTGTTTAATCACAATGCGAGAAATATACATACATTTATGCAGATTCTTCATTATTTAATTTCTTTTTAAATATAATACAGGGATCTAATATTTGGTGGCAACAATTTAAAAAGGAACTCGCCGTTTATAGTAATTCAACGAAATTAATAGTCTTTCTGGCCAGATTGCCCCTTTGGACTAAAAAGAGTGACAGGTGAGAAATTCAAAATGGGGGAAAAATAGTGTAGGAGGGATTCTTAATTTCTTCAACTGCAACTGAAGCAAAAAATAGGTACTGAATAACAATATAGCAAATTCATGAAAAAGTTAACAAAATTCGATGAAACACAGAGCATTTACGAATACTTTGCAACATAGCGGATTTATTGCTCGGAAAATGGAGAGCTTAGTTAAAAAATTTCTGCTGTCTCGTTATTACTACTATTTTAATTTTACTAAAAATACTTTAATCTATATTTCCGTTGTTTGATTAGTGGAAGCTTCTGGACATCTTAAAAAGGATTTTTCTTTGCTCTTAATTTGGCCTAGTCACAAATGAAAGCATTTAATAATTTTAAATTACAAAATTCAATCCAATCTAAATTTTAATAGAATACGATTCAGCACATTTCGAAGATCAGCGGTCTAAATCCTATTTCCCCAAAGCAGAATTTTTCTGTACTCGTTCCAATGAACTGGATTTGTATTTAATCGCATATTTTCTCTTTAGTGTTTTTAGCATACAATTCAGAAACTTTGCCGCTATTACTGGTTGTAACTGTCCGTTCCTTCATAGGAAAGGCGATGGAGGCCCACCTATTAGGTGCCTCCATAATAAAGAGACCACCCCATCCGGCCTTGTATACATTAATGGACTGGGTTACAATTGTAATTGTTCACAATCTGCCTTTGGGAAAAAAAATCAGAAACTTTTGATCTTTTAAAGGATTTTTCAGCTTAGTTCTCGAGTTCAGAAAAATTTTGCTTGTACCCTTAACCAAAACGTGGGAACTTAAGGCAAAAACTGTAGACTTATTTGAACCGTATAGTACAGTAATAAGATTATCTGAACTTATCTGTCTACTAAGGTCTTGTTTTGATCCCTTGGCTAAGAAACTCTACCGGCCGCTTTATTTTTCCATCTCTATTTACGGACGGTAAATAGTGAAAAAAACGAGACATGCTAGTAAATACTGTATGCGTCCGTTATGAGATAAGTATAAATATATCGCAACGGAAACTCAATATTACGTATTTACATTAAAGAAACCGCAACCTGAAAACTTTAGATCACAGCAAAATAACCTCGCACAAACATTTCCTACTAACAATTCAAAAATTAAATGAAATAAATAAAAGCATTAAAAAATCATACAAATATAATATACTAAGTTGCCTTTCAATTTAATTTTGTTTAAAAAAAAGGAGTCTGTTTTTAATAATTTTTTTTATTATTGAATAACATCAAAATGCGACAGACACATATGTACACACACATAAAAAAGTAAATAAATAAATAAATAAAATCTGAAAGTTTTCCAATTTTAACGTCGCCGAAAAGGGCCTCGTGCAGCTTCAAGTATTCGGCATACCTTTTTTTTTTTTCAGTCTTTTCTCAGTTCATTACATCAATGTTTAGTTTTTCTTACTAAAATATCTTTACAAAACTTTATTTCGTAATTTTTGTATTAACATTTTTTGAGTGTTGACGTTACTTATTAAATATCACGTTCTTGGGGCTTAAACCGCATAAAATTCGAATCAAGAGCAAAATCACAAAATATTTAGAAAGAGCATATCTTTAGAATTTCCGATAGACATTCGCTGGATATAAAAATGTTTTATTTCGTCCAGTGTTGCCATTGCTCGCTTTGAAGTCAATGAGTTTGTTAATCAAAAATTCGTTAATGTTTTACAAAATATGAAATAGGTAATAAAACAGAAATTCAAAATTTGGGCTTCCAAGTGCCCATGATCGGGTAGAAGACTATGTTATTAAAAAATTGATGGCTATAAGTACCATTGTTTTTTCACAGTTCAAGAAAAGTACGTACATTCATGTAAATTCATCGTTATTTAATTTCTTCAAATATAATACAGGGTGCTAATATTTGGTGGCAACAGTTTGAAAAGTGGTTCGGACATTTAAAGTGTTTCTACGTAAAACTCCGTTTGGAGACTAATAGCTCTTCTGGGATAACACCCGTTTGGGATGATAATAATAATAATAAAATGTGTTTTATTTAGTGGAAGTTTAATAAATTTCTAAACAAGAGAAATAGAATTTATAATACTTGACGTCAAAGTAGTTTCGAGCATTTTCGACTAGAATATCAGACAACAAATATTTAGCATTTGACAATCGTAAATACTATTTGCAGTTACATATGAAATAAATACATTCTGATGTGCAAACATAGCAATTTGACGCTCTAAAAAAACGCCCAAATTTAATGTTTGATTTAGCTTAAGTGCATGACTACATTTTTTCCATAGAAAAATAGACGTCACAATCATTTCCTTTTTAGAAAAAGCTGAAACAAGAGTAAGCTCGATTTATAGCAACAGCAAGCCCGAGCAAAAGTAAGCTCGATTTATCGTAAACTGACGTATGCATTAATTAAAGTAAAATATATTTACTTCTAATCGAATTGTTAAATTCACATTTCATTATGTAATACCAATTATCATAATTACAATGTTAATATTTTACTTTTATTTTGCTTTATATTTATTTTGAATTTAAATAAAGACATGAAAGATATATAAAAACTAACTACTATTACTGGTAGTTTTCATAAGCACCCGATGGTAAACCATTGTTTACAGTATTACAACTCAGCTGGAAAGTGTTAAAACAAACTATAGACATAACAGACATAAAAAACTACGGGCTAAAAAAAAAGAACTATAGCTAGGCCAGAAATTCTATCCATTGACAGAATAGAGACTATTAAGTTTAGGCCAACTGGGGGGAAGAACATTTTTTATAGAATAAATACATTTCAGGAATAAAACAAGGAATTTAGTTGATGGATTTGAGAAAATTCATACATTTAGATACTTACTTATTTTCTTCTATAATTTTCTACTTAGCTTTTAAATACATGATATGGATATTGTAGGGATATACAGACATGTAATTACAGACTTAACTGCACTGTTTTAACGTGTACTTTAATAATATTTACTTACCGGACTGCTATTAAATTACAGCAGAGCACTAGAGAACTGCCGATTTAATGAATAAATGTCTTTGAATCGGATTTACATCATACAAGGAGGGGAACTCGGTAGCAGTCTCATTCAGTTGTCAAGAACAGATCTCAGGTTATGGATGTTAGTTGGCTTTCGATATTCAATTACTAATCTTTAGCATAGTTAAAGCGAAGTATTTTCCTTATCTTAGGAAAGTTTAGCAAAGTTTTATTTGTAAAAACAGGAAAGCAAATGATGTTTTCTTATTGTTTATTTTGCTTTTGTAACAAAACTAAATCATATAATGTTAATAATAATTAAAGCAATTTTTACATTCACACTTCATTCTCTGTTGCGAAAAAATTCAAATGCATTTTTTTACTGCACTACAAGCAAGTACAATCACGGGAAGTTTTCCTGAGACGTTAATAATATTCATAGTTGTCATGTGCCTGTTGAATATTACATACAAGCTATTCTTTTGAGACTAATGTTATTCAAGCTGTCACAAACAGTAAACATTGATTACTAAGAACTAAAAGTCTACCATGATGGTACTAACTTATAGACTGATGTTTCAAGATAAAATATTAGGACTTATTCTATATTCAGATCACAACCAGTAAACATGAACTTTCGAAGGCAGAAATAGTCATCTTGTGTTTCGAAATCACCATTAATAAACCATTTTTAGTTTTTTTTAAATGAAATAATGATTAATAATCATTAAAGTTAAATCTTATCGTTGCGAAATAGTACTAATGCATATCATTAAGTGCATCATTAAGTCCCAAAACAGTTAAAACCCGTCAAGTCAGTGCAGCTCGGTTGTAAAAATTATTGGTTGATAGCACATTTATACATGTATCTAAATACAGATACATGTTCGATAGCTAACACAAAGTAAAACCGACGTACAGATACATATCTGGATGAATTGTATTACTTGTGACGAAGAATAACAATGGAACGTAAGAGAAACCACGAAGTTCCTTCTGAACTTCCTATCACTTGACACGGGGCAGGAACAATGACTTTAATGTTTAAAATGGTTGTCGTGTCATACCATTCAAAAGATTTAATTAATAGTTATTATGTAACCTGCAATTCCTCTAAGGTGTTCTCCAGAAATATTGGGTGTGCTAGCAATGTAGAAGAACAATATGTCCATCCGTCATCGCAGAAGGTATCTGTGCGAAAAACATATCCATTTTCATTAATGGATATTGTCTCTACGTTACGGTAATGCGTTTAGAGTGGCTTTT